TTAAAAGGGACAAAACCCAGATACATTATTCAGTCCAGCGTGACACCAGTGCTGAACACGAGCCATCACGCAACACACCCGCAACATCCCTCATAAACCCTCAGCAGCAAAGCCATTTCACTTTCTCTCGACCTTAACCTCCATACGTGCATATTTCTAGGCATTTCTACACAATCTTACAGCATCATCATTCTCCACAGAGCAGAAAACCAACCCAAGCACTCCAGCTGCAAGTTTTCACCCCATATTTACCTACCTAAAGTCCAAGCCTTTGAGAGAAAGAAGGTGGGCTTGTCTGCCAGAGTTGCTAAAATTATGTTTATTTGATCCAGTATCGTTGGTGCCTGGTTTGTACACGCTTTCTGGCTTTAGGATGAGCCGTTGACTGGCCAGCCACACTATTCCTCTGTGAAGACTACGTTACACGAGCTAGTTGCTTGATATAAGGACCATTAGGATGTGAATTCCGCACCATCAATCACGGCGAGTTCTGTATTTTCTCAGTCCGGTTCATTTTACGAAACAACGTTTACCTTAATTAAGAAATGTGCTCTGTACTGAAGTATATTTTGCACCAGGGCGGTATTAGAGACTGAGCCTGTGCCTCTTCTTCTCACAAGCATCAAACTCGTAACCGGTTGAAACCGGTTCAGACTGGGAGATTCCATCTCGGTTTAGTTTTCAGCCGATGGCGCCGCGAAAAGTTTGGATTAACGTCACGCCCATGGAGGCGTGCCATTGGACGCAGCGTTGCTAAGCACGTCCTTACTGGCGATCCATTGGACGACGCGCACGTCAATCAATCTCAACTCTTTCGAGCGCCCACGCGATTGCTCCGCCCGTTTAGAGAAAAAGAAGGCAAACTGCGTGCAGACTCAGAGTGGACTTGTAATTTGCGATAATATTATGGTCGTGCATTATTTGTTTATTTGTTGCTTTTACAGGGAAATGCCATTTCGGAGTTACGTATTTTGCGCTACTCTTTCGAAAAACAGCCGCGTTTATATATTCCGTGAGCTTTAAATGAACCGTTTTTCGATAGACAACAATAGTGATCGCTTGGTAATTGTATACATGTTCGGAAAAATGAAGTTCACGGTGGCCTGAAGGAGATCGAGGGCATCGAGTCCGTGAGGCGGATGTTGGAGTTTGTACTTGTGCTGATTGTAAGCTGGTAATTTTCCACGAGCCACGAAGGGGAGTGGTTGTTCAGAGTCAGGGTATGATACGCATGGCATGGGTCAGAGCCTGATACAATTGGCTTGTGATGGTCTCCATAAACTTAACAACCGCGAAGTTAACTCCAATGTGGCAGTGATGTATTATAAACGCATTGAATCACTCGAAAATATAATAATAAACTGTCAGTGTGGTGTTTCACAGAGACGTCAAACGCTTGCATGGCATGCTCCCTCCTCCTTCCCCTTTGCAAGTCACGTGACGCAACGCCACTTAAACGTCAGTTGATGGAAAAATACTGGATTTTGTGTGCGCAAACTACTGTAGTGTCTGTACTGAACAAAGAATGAGAAAAATAATACATTGCCCTGCAGTCAAGAAGTCATTTATGCTTCTGCATTTTTTATAAAACTACATTTCACAAGGTCATGGTGTGCATTTTATACATGTTGAATATCTGATACAGTATTTCCCTTTAGTTCAGCATGTGGCCCATTCTACACACCTTTTAAAATGGTTAACTAAATAAGCAGTGTTACAGCAGTTTAGGACCAGTAATTTGGTAAATTATATGCTCAGATTTAACCAACAAACTGATCTCGCTTCCAGTGAAGGTGAACCTTTAATCCAAATGTAGCAGGTTTATTCTCGAACAGACACTAGCATTGCAGTTTTCTGCATTTAATGGGTCCAGGCATAATTTGATAATCAGCTGTTGTTGTATGAATCAGATCCATATTTACTCATTTTATCTTTTTATTACGTGTAGGTCCCACGCTGAGATAAGTGAGATGTGGTGTAAATGAATTGTAGGTGTCATGTTTACCTGTCTGCGAGTAAAGTCAGTGCCACAACACTGTCACACAAGTCAACCTGCTTTCCAGGAATCACAGGCGAAATTCTCTCAACCACAAGAAGGTTGATGTTCCAGTTTTTTTTTTTTTTTTTTTTTTACCGTTGAATACTTTACTACAGGTTTTATAATAAAACAATTAGTAATTAATGAACAAAGAGTGGTTGCATCTTCATATCGTTTAGATAATCCTTCATAAATGGTCACCTGCCTAGTATGAGCTGAATAATATTGTCCATTTGTATGTCATGTTTTTGTTTTGTTTAAATGTTTTTGCACTGATCATAATTAGAGAGACATATTTGTGCGAGTTGAAATCTCAAAATTAAGCATGGTAACTGCTTTAAAACAGCAATCAGCAAATGTGCTCTTATTTTAGAACTGATGTTCCTCAGGCTATGACTTCACTTTGTGTAACAGAAAACTCGCCATGCTTCCTTTCTTTATTGTCTCAGCTGTTTTGAATTATTTTGAGAAATACAATAAACCATTGAAACTTCTCTGGATGTCTGTTTTTGCTTATTGCAGGTCCCAGAACATGCATATATACGAAAGGACAGAACGCATTTTTGTTTACGCTGATGTGAAAACCTTGCATGTTTCCTCTATTAAAGTATGTCATTAATCAACACATACAGAGGGTCTGAAAGTTAACAGGGTCACGGGGACGACCGAAAGAGGTCATCTTGCTGAAGTGAGCAGTAGGAGGGGTCGAGGAGAGAAGCCATGCACATGCATTGTGGCACATACATGTGAAATGAGGTGGGCTGCTCTGTTCAGGATTGGGCTGGCTTAACCCGGTTCTGTCTGGTCTTGCCTTGCCGCCATTTACATACATTATAATGACATCACCTGCTCCTCTCCGTCACTCAAACTAGTTTGACAGTTGTCTTGTTTAGGGTGTGATATGTACTTTCTCATAACCTGTGACTTCTGCCTTATTTCACTTTTAATAGTGAATAATTTTGTAAGTAAAGTGGTCACATAAAGACCAGGCTATATTTAAGTCCTTTATTATTAATAATAAATGATTTTTAATTTAAATGATTATCATTATTATACATTCATTATAAAATCAACAAGCTTACCATCATGAAGCAGCACTAATGTAATTTGACGCATATCCACATTAAAATATAAAACATTTACTTGAATATTATATTCAATTATTTGATTGCTTATTTAAACTGTGCATTGTATAATAAAGAATTACAAGCTATTTGTTGTAGCTTGGGCTATTTGCAGGAGTGTCTTCCTAATGGTGGTCACTATAAATAGCTCTGTCCTTCTTGAGAGAGGTGAACTTCATGACAACAACACAGACAATGAGGGAGGCCTTGCTGCACAGAAAGTTTGACTTCAAGAGGATCATGTTTAGATACAAACAGCTCCCTCTAGCGACGATAGTACAAACCAAAACACGAGTAATAAATTATATTGCCTTGATCTAGAAACGGCATTTGGCTTTTCCCTATTCATGTGACTGATGGCTAAACGGTGTAGCAATGTTTATAACTTCAGCAAATAGTTTATAGTGACAATGTGATATATTTAGCTTTAAGGAAATTCACAATTGTATATTTTATGGTATATTTTAGCAACAGGAAGATGTGGATTATATAATACCTTCATCCAAAATGGTTAGCATAGTACTTTCATTCTCTAAAGAAAACAAATTCATGCCATTCTAAACAACTGCACAACACCACTGCTAACAAAGCATTTGTTACAAATAACAATAGACAAAAGAGCATTGAATGATGAGGATATGACCTTTCACCAAGTACTGAGGGAATGGGGGCAGCTACTGTCCGTCCACCTTTACCCTTGCTCTGCTGATCGCTGCTCGTTCTGTTCCTTATAACTAATCTGATTAGCTCAGATTCCTGTCATCTGTATAATTTTTATTACAGCTTGACATTTTCCATCTTGACGCTTAAAAGTTAATTAAGAATCTGCATGACACATTGAAAATCTGCTATTCTTCTGAGCTTTCTATTCATCAAAGAATCCTAAAAAAAAAAATCAGTTTCCACAAAAATATTAAGCAGCACAACTGTTTAACACTGATGAAAAAATCTTTCTTGAGCACCAAATCAGCATATTAGAATGAAGGATCATGTAACACTGAAGACTGGAGTAATGGCTGCTGAAAATTCAGCTTTGCCAGGAATAAATGACATTTTAAATATATTAAAATAGAAAACTGTTTTTTTAAATGGTAATATTTCATATTATTCCCGTTTTACTGCATTTGTGATCAAATAAATGCAGCATTGTTAAGAATAAAAGACTCATTGACATAAAAAAACAAAAAAAATCACTGACCCCAAACTTTTGAATGGTAGTGTAAATATAACCATATCATTTTTAAAGCGTTCAAAACACAGATGGAAATTAACTGGTAATTTAATAATAAAATGGCAAGTAAATGAAATCCAATAATTGTTTTGAGTCAGAGTACTATTTAGAACCAAATGGTCTGCTGCCTCAGAACTGTCAACTTTACAGAGTATACGAGAGAGACAACTCTTGGAAAGAGAGCGATATCTGTCGCATTGAATGGTGGGGGTTGTGATGGATCTGGTTCCCACCAGCAAAGAGGGAATTAACACATGATCATTTGTGTTCTTGGGCCAGTCTGTGGCCCAGCACGGTAACCCAACCTGCCTGAGCTCAATCAAACACAGACTGTCACCAAAAAAGGCAGACCAGCTCATCGAAGTTCCCGCCTCCACCCTCACAAGCAGAACGCTCTACTTCCCTTTCCTGTTGTCATGGTGACAGTTGTGCTGGAAATCCTCATCAATGATATGACTGACCGATCATGAGATAAACCACTAATACCTTCCTTTTTCAAACACATAAAGGAATTGTATAAAAGAGGACTGTGTATTTACATACAGAATTTTTCCAAATCAAAGGCCAGGCAATATCTCATTTCATGAGAACTTGTAAAAAAGACAGGTTTATTTTAAATGATTTTTATTCTACTGCTTCTGTATTCTCCCTCATGTCACATTGGTCCAAATGGCACAGTTGTGATAGTTTCAGTGCAACATAATCATGGACCTCACAGATATTAGTCGTCAGCATCGCTCTTTACCCAGTGGCTTCTTTGCGTATTATACAGGTTTGAGTCATTGCATTAAGACAGCTTAAAGTGCAGGGTCAGTACCACGGAGATGAGCTTTCTCTGGTCACCTGAGTCGGCTAGAATGAAGCAGGGACATTACAACACACTGCGGCTGGGATGAATCCTGAGCTAGACATGAGATGAGATAAAGCAAAAGGTGCAAAATAAACAGTGCTAGTGTAACACAGATTAGTGGGTGCAACCAATTCATTAGCAGCCAAAAGCTTGTATTGTTTACAGTGCAACTGATGGTTTTATTAGGTCCATTGTTTATGTTCTATAGCTACAGTTATGACATCAGTGACCACACCAGCAATCCATGCTTCTCCCGGGACTGCAACGGAAAAGACTCTAATGCTATTCCTGCTGTGTCTGGATGGAGTTTGGGAGAAAGAGGGAGTGAGGAGTGGAGCAAAGGATGGACGAAGAGAGCGATGGGTTATTCTGCCTCGTCAAACAGCAGCAAGCTCTTTTACTCCTCCTTTTCAAAAACTCATCCACTTATCTCCACATTTTCTCTAAGTCGGTCTCGACGGCCCCGAGCGTATCTTCGCTCTAAAAAAAGACCAAAGTGCTGGTTAAAAATGGAACTGAGAGAACAGGAGAAAATGAGTAAGTAAAAAAGTAACATTAAAGCTGCAAGCGAGTCAATTACAAAGTAAAGCAATATTATATCAGCAGTGGGCTTTGGGTCTTCCATTAAAAGTTTGTGTATTTTAAAAGGATCGTTCACCTAAAAATTTTAATTCTGTCATCATTTCACAACCTAAATGACTTTTTTGAGTGAAACACACAAGACAATATTTTGAAGAATTTACAACTGTTTATGTCTGTACAATAAAAGTCAGTGGGGTTCAAAACCGCACTAGACCCAGGCGCGGCTCGTCTATATGGGCAGGTGGGGCAGAGTCCCACCAAAATATTCATCCACAACATAGACCTCTATATAAACTGAAACAATAATAAATTGTAAATGTGTTCAGCATTCTGGAACAAATATTTTTCGGATTTTCTAGACTATTTTAAGTCGTAAAGTAAGCAGTATATATTAAATCCCGCGCATGGCTTTAGCAGGCATGTATACATGATACTAAGCGGGGCAGACGGTGCCTGAGACCTCCCGAGCTCAACAGCGCCCCACAATTTTGCAACGTAAATATGTGGTGAAAAGAGGAACTGCAGCGCGCTCTAATTGAGAGCCATTGGGGCATATTTTCACGTTACCTTACGTGAACCTCGCTCCACCAAGACGATATCAGTCCGCTTCAGCTATGTGTCTGCATCAGGTCAGTAACTAGTTGGCATGTCTGTTTTTTTCTATGTGGAGTAGTGGATCAAATTAACAAAGTATAAATCCTTTAGTTTAAATGTGCTCACATGAATAGCCTTTATATGGTTATATTGTGTTTGTTTTATTATTATTCTGAGAATAGACATATGATTGTCTTTCCTCACCCGAATTGCTCCACAACTTGTAACATTCTAAATCAACATTTGGAGGTGATAAATGCTATATTAAGGCAATTATAATACAGCATTTTATGCGTGTTCTCCGAGCCTGTCAATCAACATTAGCGCGCCACCCACAGGATAACGCAAGGACATCTCTGCCAAAATTTTGTCCGCATGTGTTCAGAGATTAGAATATAAAGTTTACAAAATGTTTTTCATATATTAGTGCTACGACCCAGAATCTGCCCCACCTACATTTACGGTCAGGAGCCGCTACTGACTAGACCCCACTGACTTTCACTAAATGGACTAAAATATCTTTCGATTTACAAAGAAGAAATATTTATGGGTGAACTATCCCTTTAAATTGGCCAGTAAAAAGCCAGTTTAGTAAGTGCAGCTAAAACAAACATGTTCCTAATCCTTCCAAATCTCATGATTAAAATCATGAATCATAATTTGAAACACTTCCACTCGTTTGTGCAGTGTCCTAAGTGCTGGAGGTGACTGTGGTACCTTAGAGTTTTCTCTGAGCTGCTGTGTCTTCCGCTGGACTGAGAGGAGGCCTTAAATTGGGCCTCCAGCCTCGAGTAGAGCCCCCCTGCAGGCTGGAACCACACAAACACACATGGGTGCAAAATACTAGAGTACAATGTTGGAATACTGCTGTAAAAGATGGTAATAAAACAGCAACAAATCAGAACACGCATGCGAAAACTGCATGTGAAAAACAGTCTTAATGGTGCTTTAGCAAGTTTATCTAAAAGAGTAAAGATGTTTTGTACCTCTTTTGTGTCTTTAAACTTCGTCTGCTCTTGATCACCAAAGCGCATTTTAGTGAGATTTGCTATAATCTCCTCCATTCTCCTTAGATCTAGAGTGAGTTTGAAAGTATAGATATCCATCAAGATCACTGCAAATCTACACATAATCTACTTGAAAGCTTCCGTGTCAGAAACACAGCCAAGAATGCCTCTAAATTATTTAATACCATTGATTAATCACCATTACAAATCATTAAATAATGGCGAGGCTACGGTTTTAATCCTATTTTGAATACAAAAGTCTTTATAAAACAAAAACAGTGATTTAGTCTTCTAAAGAGTTGGCAGATGTGCATGCTGATGGCTGGATTTAACTTTCTCTGATGAGATTTTCTAGGGTTTTCGAGTGGTTTTAAATCACGACTCTTTTTATTATAAGACTCGCTCTACCGCTGTGCAATTGTAAGAATCTTTGTTACAGTCAGAGGATCTGAAAAAGGTACCTACCCTCCTCCCTCTGTGCATCCTGATTGTACCTCAAGGAGCGATTGCTATCCCACTTATTCTTCTGGATGCTGACGCTAAGAGCGAAAGAAGGACAAAGAAAGAGAAAAAATTTGCCAAATGTCTCATTCAGAAGCGGAGAAATCCCTTCTCAATCATATGGCATGAGAAACCATTACAATACAGTGTTAAAAATTTTTTTTTAACTAAGATCACTCATACAGAAAACAGTATGTTTAATGTAAATTAAAGCTGCAAACAAGTACATTAAATAAAAAAAAAAAAGCAATACTACAGTACATTAACAGTAGACTTAAAAGTTCTTGTATTTTAAAGTGATAGTTCATCCCAAAATTTAAATTCTGTCATCATTTACTCACCCTCATGTCATTCCAAACTTGTATACATTTTTTTAATTTTTTTTTATCTTCAACTGTTTTGTCAGTACAATTAACGTAAATCGGGTCCAAAACAACATTGGACCCCAATGACTTTCACTATATGGACCAAAATATCTTCTTTTGATTTCCAAAGAAGAACGAACAACATGAGAGTTTTTCATTTTTGGGTGAACTATCCCTTGAAATTCGCCACTTATTCTTCTACAGAAAACGGCAAGTCTTCGGAATCACTTACATGAATGGGGTGGAGTCTCGAGATGGTGCCTTTAAAACAAAAGAACAGAATGAATGAAAAGAGAAAAGTGACATACAACAACAACAACAACAACTACAACTAAACCAGACCAGAGTTTTCTAAAGAAAATATGTTTTCCCACGTAAAAGTCCTTTTGCTTGAAAAAAATAAAAATAAATCAAGCACCAATGAATTTGTTGCACTCACCTTTTCTCCAGATTTCTCCTTACGCTGGAAACTGGGGGAGGACACTTGTCTTTTCAAAGGTTTTCCAGATTTTCTTGCCTTCTTTGCAGCTATGCACATAAAGTCACAAACCCAGCTTTAAGGTCAATCTCGTTGAAATTGTACATGACTGCCACCTTTTGACCATAATGAGGTACTGCCTATTAAAGATTATCTGGCATTTTTTTTCACTAATGTGTAACATTTTAGTCCACCTTGTTTTTTTGATGTGTCTTCTTCATCCCCGACCTCATCCTCTGTGACCTCTGACCCTGTAGTGTACTCCTCATCTTCAGACAGCAGAGACTGCTGCCGCTGCAAAAGGTCAATGCAACATTTAGTTTGTCAGCGTAGGTATATAGGAAATTTAATATTTGAGGAACTTTCTTCTTACCAGCTGAAGACTCCAGTTTTTTAACAGTGAAAACTGCAACAAAAGAAAAAAAAAAGTGCTTATAATTTGAGCATGTACAAACAAATTTAGATTAAAATGTTTTAAATCAAAATAAATTCAATCCTGATTCCACCACTGAGGACAATAATTAAAAAAAATCTTTATGTCTCACAATTATGACTTAATATCTTAGAATGTAATTTTATATTATAATAACACAAATTTATCTCACAATGGCAAATGTATTTTTTTGTAGCTGTGACTTAATATCTCACAATATGATTGTCATAATGTATTTCTTGCAATTGCATATTTATCTTACAATTGCAACTTTATATCTCACAATGTGAAATTATTTTTAAATGTTATCTCACAATTATCACTTTTTAACAATATTTTTCAGTCTGAGATAATAATTGGTTTTCATACAATAAAGCAGGAAAGATCTTGGAAAGGAAATTTTGCTTATGTTTTTTTATGTACACGATAAGATGTCACTAGATATTTTCTTCGTTGTTGTTGTTTTTTTTTTGTATGGTCTTGTGTTAATTTGTGATTGTACACTACCGATTTGAATTAGGATTTTTTTATGTGTTTGAAAGAAGTCTCTTATGCTTACCAAGGCTGCATTTATTTGATCAAAAATACAGCATCAAATCCAAATCAAATAAAAAAATACAAATACAAATCAGCATCAAATCAGTATACTAAAAAGATTTCTGAAGGATCATGTGACACTGAAGGCTGGAGTAATTTAAAAAAAATTAAAATCAAACACTGTTTAACTGTTTAAATTGCAAACCGGTAATGTAGGTTGTTGATGGTTGCATAAAAAAGAAAATGTTCACATATATAAATCACACACAAAAATAATAAAAAAATTAAAAAAGTCTCACAGCTGTGGTTTCCTTGGGTCTGTGAGCTGTAAGCACCCCTGGCTCCAGCATTACATCACATCCTGGCACACGTTCACTGCCTGCAGAAGGGTCCTCAGAGCTACAGCTAAACAAAATGGATTAGAACATAAAACATCGTCAAAAGACCCTAACACAACACTAGGCAAAGCATCAAACATGGCATGCAACAAAGAACCAATAATTTTTTTCTAAAGGAAGTTACTATAGTCTGACCTCTCTGGCACACACACAGCCTCTCTGTGTAGCAGCAGGTCATTGAGTATTCTGGTCTGGGTTGAGTTTACATTGTGATCACCGCAGTCACCACCATCTGCTGCACTCACAATGTGGTCTCTTATTTTACAGCCCTACACAGACATACACAGGCATTCATGGTGAAAATTCAGAGAGGTTCAAAGGTCATCTGAGTTCAAGATAACATATTCTAAAGCAACAACACAAACCTTGGGCATAGAGGAGGGATCGAATCTTAGGACTTTCTGGTTGCAGCAGGGGTAAAGACCAATGCCGTGCCATCTATGATCTGCCCCAATGCCAGGATACACAACCGTCTCTGGGTGGTACTTACACTGGCCCAAATCTGTACACAGGAATGCCTGCCAAGATGATACAACATGCACTTATTTCCCATTTTTATTTTTAAATTACTCAAGGTGACAGCCAACCAATCAATATCTATACATACTCGATGTCCATAATTAAAGAAAAAGTTCACCCAAAAATGAAAATTTGCTGGAAGTGTACTAACCTCATGCCATTTAACATATATATGAGTTTGTTTCTTCATAAGAACAGATTTGGAGAAATTACATCACTTGCTCACTAATGGATCCTCTGCAGTGAATGGGTGCCGTGAATGGGTGCCGATGGACTGGATGACCTATATGAAGCAAAAGGCTGTGTGTTTGTAACAAATGAATTCATCATTAAGATGTTTTTTTAAATCCCACTGTTGCTTCCAGCTATTATGGATAGTCCTCTGGCGTTGCTATGATGGCACTCATATGTTTGTGACAATACTGGATACACTCCTCAACCTTCAGATCCACAAAACACAATGATAATCAAACCCCTGAAGCCCATTTAACAATTGGATGAATAACTTCTGATGAGATAAACCAACATGCTTTCTGCACACTGCTCAGACAAGTTTTTGGATAATAATAATGATCTGATTATTGATCATTTTCTCCAAGCACAAAAAGCCATCAAAATTCACCAGGTCTTTCCTCAAAATTACAATTGTGTGTCTCATTAGTGCTTGTCTGGGCAGTGTATAGACAAACACAAATGATGAAACAGCCATCATGCATCATGCACTATTACCTAAAGGTCACCCAGCTCAGAGCACACTTACTACATTACCCAAAAACATCGTCACCCCTCACAACACTTACTAAAGTTTCCATCTTCAAGAACTCGGAGGAGATCAGGATTGAGATGACATTGCTGTGCTCTGCAACCAAACACCACATAACATAACCGACAACATCACAAAGAGCGAAACATCAAACTCACAGCCAACGCATAACCGTTTACAAACACATGAAACACCATCCACCACTTACAAACACCATTCAGCCAGGTCAGAGAACACACATTACACAACACCTCTGATGGTATCTTTGATTATAGAAATTAAAAACACAACAGTAAACACACACAGAACATCTTAAATAGTTACCAAAAGACAATTACCCAGTTTGGGTTTGTCCATGTGTTTTCCATGCGAATGTTCAGTGTTGTGACTCTTGACGTAGTTCATGAGCCAGTCGAAGATCTGGACGTCACAGTGGACAGAAATGTCCACCTCGTCCCAGCGCTGTGGGTCCACAGAAAGATACTCTTCAAAGTAACGCATCTCTTTTACCAGAAGGTTCCTCGGACACACAAAGTCCTGCTTCAGGTTCTTTGCCTCATCACAAACGTGGATTACCATGTTGGGGCTATGTGAAAGGAAATAAAACAAAAAATAGACGGTCATTATTAGCAGAAGACGATTCATTGATGGCCTGATTGGTGTGAATGTGCCTCACATTTTATTCCCTTCTGTTTTCTCAATCTTCTTGGCAGGATCTGCAATCTCACTCTCTGCAGAGGCTCCACGACCAGTAGAGATAACAGTGAGGCCTGAATATATAATTCAGTATATTACGGTGTAATCCAGCATTAAATGACAGATTGGATATTTTTTATCCAGACCCCACCCACTGACTCACCTGACACTGAGTGAGTGGCCTGATTGGACGGTGGTTCCCCTGTATCTACGGTAATGTCCAATAAATTGGATTTGATGTAGGTGGAAAAGGGTTCCGATGGAGAGCTCACTGCGCCGGTCAGTGGGTTACACTGGTCATCAACATGAGGGAAACTGCCTGTAGTCTTTAACTCTTCAAACCTTTGCGCACACTATAAAAATATATGAGGAGAAGCTGAACACGTTAAACATTTGCTGAGAAACTTCTGGATCTTTGTGTGAAAAAGTGTGGGTGTTAAACTGTCAAATGTATGCACCGTGTTTGACAGCATTTTGTGATGTACAATATTATTGTTATAATATTAAATATTTTATTACAGTATATTTATTATATTTTTAAATATATTTTGGATTATTATATTAAATATTTGTATTAAATAGTTGCAGAATAATAGCACAAATTACATTTTTTTCTTATTAAGGTTAAATTCACAGGCATTCAACAAACAATTATATATATTTTTCACACTTGTGCATTATTATTCTTTTTTTTTTTTACTAAATTACAACTTGACTGGACATTAATCACATTCCATGTCCCATATTTCATTTCAAGCATGCTCAATGATTTACTGATGCTTTTGTTTATTTGGTAACCAAGTACACTAACTTTAGATAAAACAATGTTGGCTGTGATAGAATTGACCCCACAACTATATAAATGTCTATATCTATCACAATAGGCTAATATCTGTAAATATCTATACAAAACATTTTCACACAACAATGGAAATAATTTGTTTTTCTTTCTCATCCTTTGTTTATTTCATCATAGTCTGTGGTAAAATATGAATAATTACTTTTTTTAAACCAAGAATATAGTTTTTATAGTTTATAACATAGCAAATATAGTTGGTTTATATATTAAAGGTCCTCATTTCTCTTACCTCTTTAGGTGTGAACCCTGGGACCAACTTGGCAACATTCTCCCAGTTGATTGGCTGAGATGAAGCCCATAGTGAGCTCAGGACCATGTCCAGGACCAGGAGGTTGTTATCATATGGAAAGTTATTATTAACAGAGCACAGACGATTCATTTCTGCGAAAAAGGAAGAAAACTATCATCTATTGTAAAAAAAAAATAAAAAGTTTATATTTTAAGAATAACCTTAACAATTAGCATCGACTAGCTCTCTACCGTCCCTTTGTATTGAATTTCAGAGAAACAAGGGACAAACTGAGAGAATGACAGCTGTCGCATTTGATCTGGTAAAGTGATGTTATGAGCTGAGATGCAACAAAAACGAACAGTGCTAAGACAATATACCGTTTGCAGCAAATAATGTTCATTGTGTGCAGCTGTAAAAATGCTTAGCTAGCATAATAAATAACAGATCGTGGCACTCCCCACGTTTTCTGTCGAATCACCCTGTGAAATGCTAAGCTAATACACACACAATCAGTTTACCCTGTTCCAGATTTATGCGCTGTTTCCTCTGGTAACAATGCTCTTCTTTCATTCCAGCTGATAAAGGGCTGGATATGAGTATCATCAACAGAGATGCTGTGGCTTACTTTGATTTCATCCGGGGAAACAAGTAAAGTTCACATCCACACAGCATATACAAATAATAATAAAAACAAATACTAAGCGTGAAATTCGCAGATTTGGTGGGCATGACTAATTACCCACATCTGTCTCTCTCCTCTTGTTAAAATGCCAGAGATCTCACGCACGGAGCTCGGAGCGCGTGTGCCATCATGATGATGCTCGCGCTGCAGTGTCTCTCCTCTCTCCGCTGTCTGCTGCGATGTGACGGGATGCCAAAGCTTGCCGACCCGAGCCTGAAAGAGGACACTGACAAAAACGATTAAAGGCTACGCGTGGCAGAGGATTATCTCCACATCCCCTGCTCAGCCGCTGTGCTCTGCTCTCTATTTCCGGTGCCGCAGTGCAGCAAGTGCGCGCCGGCGTGGCCGTTGCCAGGCGACATCCCAAACATTCCATTTGATTGATGGGATTCTGTTTTTAATATGGGGCCCAGACAAACCCAATGAAACTGCTTAAAGACAAATAGCACTGTAGATATGCTGACAGACTAAACGCTAATTTTTAGACAGAGATGCAGCCATGGATTAAATTTGTGCATATACCGTTTAACAGTTTTGAGGTTAGTAGGATTTTTTTTAAAGAAACTAATTCTTTTATTCAGCAAAAAACACAATTGTTAAAAAAGTGACAGTAAAGGCATTTTTAATCTTAAAATTTCTATTTTAAATAAACGCTGTTCTTTTGAACTTGCTATTTATAAGTGAACCATGAAAAAATGTAGCATGGTTTCCACAAAAAAATTATAAATACAGGATCATGTTACATTTAAGACTGGAGTAATGGCTGCTGAAATTTCAGCTGTGCCATCACTGGAATATATTACATTTTAAAATTGTGGTAATAATTCACAATATTTCTGTTTTTACTATACTTTTAAAACTCAGCAAACACATCACTGGCAAGTTGCTCAAAGTGGGTGCTCGGACAAAAATATCCTAAAAAAAAAAAAAAAAAAAGAGATAATGTCGGCACACCACAGCTCTAAAAATATAGAAAAAGACTAAAAAAGGGGACGTTTTGAGTTCTCTTCATCAGATATGACTGCTGACTTTATCTTTTTTGTTCTACATTTTAAATAAATAAATGCAGCCTTATGAGACATTTTTCAAAAATATTTAAAAAATCTTACTGACCCCAAACTTTTGACAGAAGAGTAACTGTTAGTAGAGCTGCAGTGTGACACATTTTTATTTACAAATGCACCTCAATTTCTTACCCAGCTAAATATCAATCAGTAATTTTCTGTAATCTTGAAAATGCAGGAACATTATAAATGACAGGAGATACATTTTTAAGCATTTACTGGCAAAATAATTGCTCGTATTTACATAATTGCACATTGTTAGTGGTATGAAAAAACAAACAAGCCTGAAAACACAGAAAGATGCACAAACTAATCCTTGATACAACACAACTTAAAATATTAAATATTCACATTGCAGAAAGATGAACAGTAATCTAAAACTCTTACATTAGGAGAAATTCGTGATAAACACTGCATTATAAATTTTGAGTGATATGAGAACTCAAAATTTAAACTAATCAGATGCATCAAAGGGTTAGTTCACCCAAAAATGAAAATTGGCTTGTGTTTTACTCACCCTCAAAGCATCCTAGGTGTATATGACTTTCTTCTTTCAGACGAATCCAGTCGGAGTTATATAAAAAATTGTCCTGGCTATTCCAAGCTCTATCATTGCAGTCAGCGGGTGTTGCAGTTGAACAGTCCACAAGTCGTCAAATAAAGCACGCGCATTCATAATAAAACGTGCTTCACACGGCTCCGGGGGGTGAATAAAGGCCTTCTGTAGTGAATCCATGCGTTTTTGTAAGAAAAATATCCATATTTCAAACATAATAAACACTTTTATATCACTTTCGCCAACTGTCATACGCGGAAGCAGTGCCGGCAGATGATGTAGCACGTCGGCGTTGCGTGATTAATGACAAACGCGGAGAGACAACAAAACAAAACGCCGATCACAAATTAAAAGTACAAACCGAAGATTTGCAAAGAAAAATGTTTTGGAGGATTTCTATATAAGCCAAGAGGAGACTGGTTTTCCTTTACTAAAGTAAGGAAACTTTGCTTCCTTTGCTCCTATAAACAGACTTTTTCATATGCGAGACTAGCATATCTCAGAGGCATGCGCGCTGCTGATACGTCATACGCCTTCCGCTGGAACGCCATCCGCGTATGAAAGATAACAGAATTGAGAGAAAAGTGTTTATTACGTTTGAAATATGGATATTTTGCTTACAAAAACGCATGGATTCACTACATAAGGCCTTTATTCACCCCCCGGAGCCGTGTGAGGCACGTTTTATTATGAATGCGCGTGCTTTATTTGACGACTTGTGGACTGTTCAACTGCAACACCCGCTGACTGCAATGATAGAGCTTGGAATAGCCAGGACAATTTTTAATATAACTCCGACTGGATTCGTCTGAAAGAAGAAAGTCATATACACCTAGGATGCTTTGAGGGTGAGTAAAACACAAGCCAATTTTCATTTTTGGGTGAACTAACCCTTTAACTGTGTATGCTTGAATGACAACATATTTGTAACATTTTATGCTTGATGCGAGTGTATCAAATCAAATTGAATACATTTTTCCTAATAATTATTAAAAAAAAATGAATGGCTCTTAACACAATCGTACAAACTATCATGTTGAAATACCCAATATTTTTGTTGAAGAAAGAAAATGTGAACAAATATTGGTAATGTCTTTGAACCTAACAATCTACTGAAATTTGTGGAATTATGCAGTTCGTACATTATAAAGGAAAATGACCTCCCCTCCACAACACCTCCGCTTTTCATTTGTTCCTCACCTTTTTTTAGATGTTGCACCAAGTTATAAAGAGGGTGATACATTCTAATGAAGGATACACTTTTTTGTCCCACCAAGACACACACCTTCCCGCACATACAAATTATTCATAAGTCCATCTTTTCTGAGGTTATCACTACAGTATCACTGTTGTTGTTTGTGGAAGGCTGCACCTCCAGGGCAGCATGAAGGCCTTGTGTTTCACCATAAACAGACTCCAGCAGCTCATCTGGAACTGATGTGGCAGGGAACGCCAGCCTGGAGTTGGGAACAGAAGCTGTAGCCAGAGCAGTTTGAGGTGCAGGAAGGTTCTGTGCCATCCTCTCTAATTCTGCATGCTTTCTGCCTCTCCTCCGGCCCAACACTTTGACGTAGTTGGCAGGTACGAGGCCAGTGGTCTGCCCATCCACGCTGGCTAAGAGCCAGCCACGCACCCTAGGTTGTTGTTCTGAAAATAAGAGTGAAATACGCTGAGTACAAGCTGTAAGTCGGTGTTTATAATACCTAGGACAAAAGGTACATGGTATCAATATGCTTGACATCAGTCAAATTTAAAATATTACATTGTTTAATATGAGAAGCTGCCACACTAGCTAGTGTTTTTTTGCACATCAGAGTGTTTAAGTACACTTATGTTCCGAATTTTTCTTGTTCTTTTACCTTTAGGGGCAAGATTAAGCATTTCTCCAGCCTGTAGAGAGATCTCTTCTTCAGATGCAGCTGTGAAGTCATACTCGGCTCGTGCTACCACATGGTCATCTTCCCCACTTGCCCAGTTAGTGGCTATAAAATACAACACAGACACATGCTTCAGAACTTCCATCTAGCACAAACATACAGACGCAGCTACATATTCAGACACATACAAAAAAAAAAACTACATACACACACATTTAGGTCACACAATATTTTCTATAGGCTGCTGCTAAAGATGTGCATTTCTGAATGATAACATTTAAAAATTTGGTTTTGTAATTGATTATAATATTTTGCATTTATTTGATTAAAAAATACAGTAATATCGCAAAATATTATTACCATTTTATTCATATTACAATACCTGCTTTCTATTTTAATATTTAAAAATTATTCCTGTGATGGTAATGCTAAATTTTAAGCAGACATTACTCCAGTCTTCAGCGTCACATGGTCCTTCAGAAGTGATTCTAATATTATGCTGATTTGCTGCTCAAGAAACATTTCATCATATTATCAATGTTGTAAACAGTTGTGCTGCTTGATATAATTGTGGAAACTGTTACACATTTTTTAAGGATTCTCTGATGAATGGAAAGCTAGTTTTATTTTAACTAATTAATTAAATTTATTTATCCTAATTATTTAAAACAGAAATCTTTTGTAACATAATATAAATGTCTTAACTGTCATAATAAATGCATCCTTGCTGAATAAAAGTTTTAATTTATTAAAAAAAAAATCTTACTGACCCCAATCTTTTGAATGGTAGTGTAAATCATTCTCAAAACTGTTCCTATAGTCCCACGTTAAAGCCAAAATATAAATAGCAATCATATATATTCACCGTAATAGTGGTCTCTAAAACTTTCACCACTCTCACAAACAAATAAACAATAAATGGTGAACAATAAAGCAAAGTTATCCTTGGTTTTCTTTAATTAGTCTCATGTCAGACCAAAAATTGTGAAAAGAGTGTGTTCAGTTTAGATGTCAACAGACAGAACAGGAAGGGAGAAAAATGTCTCACCATTTTCCTCAGGACCCTCAGCAGACCGCAAAAGCTTCCAGATCAAATACGGCCCTCCAAGAACTACAGCAAGAAACAAGAAAATGGGCCATGATTTGACAGAATTCGCTCTGGGATCGTCTATCCCTGCTCCTCTGGTTCCTGAAGCAGACACCATGGAGGAAGCGGTGCTGTCTGCCCACAAGTCATCCACCTCTGAATCCTGACGCAATCCTAGCAGCCTTTGCAGCCTGCGATATAGGTATCTAAGGGTCCTAACCAAGGCGAAAGCAGACAGCACTTTTGTGAAATGTATGCGCAAGCGGGAGAAGTGATTGGCCACATCCAGAACAGCACGGAAGCTGTTATAGACGGCAGAGAAAGTAGCATCCATCATCATGCTGACCGACGAGAAGGCGTGGACAATGCTTTCAATGGACTGAAATGCTCCACGGCTGCCCTCCTCTGCCTGCTGGACAAAGCGGCTGGGTGGGATGTCATCCATTTGGTTATAGCGGTTATAACCCAGGCCCCCTCCAACTCCATAACCACTGTAGCTGTAGGGGCTGTAGCCCCCATAAATGGAGCTCCCATAAGGGCTGTATGAGGAGGGAAATGAGCTGTATGTAGGGCGGTATGCCTGTTGAACGGGTCTTGGAGGGATGGGTGGTGTCATACGTGTTAGAACCGGAGGACCAGACACTGATGGCCCACTTTGTGATACTGATCCAAAGTCAGTTGAGCTAGATATATATATATATAAAAAAACAGAGTCAAATGAAACAGTATATAAATAAGATCAACAATAATAATAACACCGTTGAAAGTTCAAATAAATGTATATTTAACAGTAAAAGACAAAATACAACATGGGTATGCTGGAGTGAACTTTGACACTCGCATACAAACACTTGACGTGCTCGAGCACGAGCCAAGCATTAAGTTTGCGTAACTCGTAGCAAGTAAAATTGTCAACACAACTAGACAGTATTTTTTCTCAGTTTCGCGTTAACACCAAACTTATGATCATACTTATTAATTGTATAACCACATACCGATTTGTCAAGTAAATATATTTCGCATACAGTGTTGGGAGTAACGCATTACAAAAGTAATAATATTACAGTAGTATATTACTTTTTGCTGTAACGCAGTAATATAACGCATTACTAATCAAATTTGGGTAATATTATTACTCGTTACAATCTCAGTAACGCAAGTTACAACAACATATTTTAACTCAAAATTAAGTGGTGAATTTACCAACACAGCAAAACAGCACCAGAGAAAAAATTCCGCGGGTAAAATAGTTCGTCTATTTCCTGTTGCTGGAATTAGATGGTTGAGATGACTGCAGAGAAGGATTCTACATTTGTGAGATGAATTAATTAATTTCTTAATTAAACAAACAAACAGACTTACTGGGTGAGCAGGGTAGGCTGTCATATCATACCCTGCCATGCCCAGCTGTTGCAAAGATTAGAATTTATATCTACACAGAAGAAAGCCCTGTCTCGACTCTGTCGGCTGACCAATCAGCAGAAAGGGGTGTTTAATTCCCGCCCACGTGTAGAAATCGAATATTTACGCTGTTTATTCATTTGTCCACCCATGAACGAAAAACGAAAATTTAAGCTGAATTTTCGTTTTTCGGAAAAAAACAAAAAAACTAAAAAGGAGCCGTTTTCTCATTCAAGGAACTTTGCTGCTGTACCATGGGTGCAGCAGGCGCAATAATATTACGCAGCGCCTATTTTCAAAAATAGTGGGGTGTTCCTTTAAACCACAGTACATCACATGATAGTAAATACAGGATAACTATATAAGGCTTGTTGCATTAAAGACCCTACTGTATGTTCGTTTTGTTCAGCACTATCTTTGACAGTCCACAAGATGGAGCTGGAGTAATGTTCACCACAGTTTGAATTTAGTTTACCACTATTGTAATCTATTATAAATGTACGTCTCTGGACTGAAATAGATCAGATCTCCTGCAGCAGTGAAACAGATCAAACAGGATTTGTGAGAGGGTATTTGCTGCCAGCCAACATGGGGATTAATTGTATCAATCAATTTAATGGCTGCACACCCAGTGGTTAAAGTGCCCCTATTATGGATTTTTGAAAATTACCTTTCATGCAGTGTGTAACACAGCTCTAAGTGAATGAAAACATCCTGCAAAGTTTTAAATCTGAAAGTGCACCGTGTATAAAGTTATTGTCTCTCAAAAGAAAGAGTCGACTCTGAATCATTGAAACGAGTCATTTTTAAACCAAATCCCAAGCCCTTCCATGTTGACGTCAACATGAAACATTAGCATATTGCCGGCCCACTTGTTGGTCTTTTCGTGTTGGTCTGAATGAAAATGCAAATTCATTCTTTGCCACTAGGTGCCGCTTTTGGAGCTAAAATAGCTGTTTCCCCGGTAACGCTGTACACAAAGCATCAGGCATTACAGGCATGGTGAAATGAAAATGAGACCAATCTGATCAATCACTGCAGATTAGCGTCACACAAAGTAGGGGTTTGGAAAAATGAATCATTGAGCGAATCGTTTGGGAGTCGTTGAGCAAGTAAGGTAAAAATAAATGCATATTATAAGACAATGAAAGTGTTTTTTGACCTTGCATGCATGTCAACCTGTTGTTGGGGACTCCCAAAACCAAAATATGAACCTTTCATTGCCCATAATAGGGGCACTTTAAACATATGCATTGTTATTGTCTGAGAACTAAACAGTCCTCAGAAGCAGTTCCCTGACTCAGTATTAGAAAGTGGGTTTTTTGAGCAGATTAGGCTCGGTAAAGTTTTGAAAAAGCTGTTTAGGTCACGTAAATGCCTCTGTCCATTTCTGTTCAAAATGTCACTTGCAAATGTAGGCCTAAATACAGCATGTGCATTGCACGAAATATGACTGTCTGGGCAAGATTACATTTCTCAGCAGACAGGGATTATTTTTTCAAAGACAATATTAATGAATAGATATTTGCAGTAATAAAATAAAATAATATAATATAAAAAAGTCTCCAAGCTAAAAGAGTTATGCAGTAATAATGCATCACTAAAACTGTCATTTCACAGTTTAAGACTTATGTATTAGGACTCCTCAACCCATTAATCTCAAAGGTTTGTTTGTTTGTTTATTTATTTATTTAAAATATATGCATATTATCATAAGCAACACAATGTGAAATGTTCCATAATAATATGCAACTTTTTAACTGGGTAAATTATATAAGCAGTAAATTTTAATAATAATAATAATAATAATAATAATAATAGGCCTAATAAAGGTTCCAGAGAGGAAATAATAACATCTAAAAATTGTAGTAGAAAATGGTGCTACTTCAATGATCAATACAGGGCCGCTGCTGGCCAAATGGGTGCCCTAAGCAGAACTGTATTGTTGTGCCCCCTCCCCCAAATATTATGGATGTAAAAAAAAGACCTACTATAGGGGTCAAAATAGAACTTTAATAAAATATAAAAGTAAATAAATAAATAAATTGTAATTATATTATTAATCTTTAGATTTTTATTTATGTATATGTTAATTTTAATATTAATATCGAACGAAAGTTTTTTTGAGCAACTGGTATGGTGCCCCCCTGGGAGTTGGTGCCCTACGCAAACTGCGTACTCTGCGTATAGGGAGCGGCGGTAACCTACAATGCAAAACATTTCACGTTAATTTATTAAATAAAAATGGAGCCACATTGTTTGATTTAATGTACGGAACTTCATATTTAATAAATTTATATGTTTTTTTTTCTCATGGCCTTTGCATTATATCATAATTTCCATTGAGTTAAAAAAATACATTTAGTTCCCTCTTTATGATATTTGTCAGTTCAAAACATCATTTTGCATATAGGCTATTTTATGGGGGGGAAAATGAAAAAAATGTTTTCATTGTTATAATAACAAAATACACATGAATAATCAATATTCAGCATACAACGTTCCAGTGCGTTTCTTATGACAATTTTTATGCATTATTTGTCGCGATCACAGCCATTCGGTCGCTGCCCGGCGGATGCCGTCATGACGCAGGACTTCCAGCGTGTTGACGCAATGTTACGTTCCACCAATCAGCGGCAGTTTCCGAAGCCCAGGAAAGGAGCAGATGATATGGCAGCTTTGTGAGCGGCCAGGTGGAACTCGCTTTTGTTTAATCGCGTTGACAGCGGAACATGAGTACACTTTAACCCGCACGCAGCAGCGGGGGATCCGAAAATGATATACCTGATATTAATTTCTGCCTTCTCCGGGGCCATCGTCACGCTCCTTCTGCAGCTCTTACTGTTGTACCGGAGGAGCCCCGAGCCTATCGCTAGGACAGTTCAGTATGTCAAAGCAGTTCCTGATCCCGCACTGAAGGATTACTTTAGAAACCAACAAGCCGAATCAACGCAGCAACAATCAGATATCACAGCGTTTGCCTCCAAACAACCAGAGGCCGCTTCTCCCAAGCAGCAAGAGACCACCGTCCCCGGCAGCAGCCCCAAACAGCAGCCGTCCTCGCCACCGCCTTTATTGAGCGACCCTCAGCACACCCCCAAAGCAGAGACATGCGATTTCCTCAATGCCATATTTCTGTTCTTATTCCGCGAGCTCCGAGACACCCCAGTCGTCAGGCACTGGATCACCAAAAAGATAAAGGTAGAGTTTGAGGAGCTCCTCCAGACCAAGACCGCCGGGCGTCTGCTGGAGGGGCTCAGTCTGCGGGATTTCTCTCTGGGCAACTCGGTGCCCGTCTTCAAAACAGCCAGACTTATGAAGCCGGTGGCTCTCAATGAAGACAACATGCCAGAGGAGCTCAATTTCGAGGTTGACTTAGAATATAACGGCGGCTTTCATCTGGCCATCGATGTCGATTTGGTATTCGGGAAATCGGCTTATCTGTTTGTGAAGATGACCCGAGTGGCAGGCCGCCTTAAGCTGCAGTTCACCCGCACGCCTTTCACGCACTGGTCCTTCTCCTTTCTGGAGGACCCGCTCATAGACTTCGAAGTGAAGTCTCAGTTTGAAGGCCGTCCTCTGCCCCAGCTCACCTCCATCATAGTCAATCAGCTCAAGAGAGTTATCAAGAAGAAGCACACTTTACCTAACTACAAAATAAGGTAATGTCTCAGTGTCTTACTGCTGTAGGATTCTCGTCTGTCCCTTGCCTGAAGTTCATCTGGGGTCTCAGGTCTGAAGTGAATGTCCTCAGCTTTGGCAGAACAGTCAAAGTTAGGGGTCCTGAAGATAAATGATTACAGATGATCCCAAAATTCATTCCCTGCATTGTTATTTTTCAGCTGTGATGTTGGACAGTGTTCAACTAGATCTGTTTTTTATGCTGATACCAATTTTTTTTTGTTAAATAGTATGTCAGACCAATTTTAAGTTATTTCAAAAATTGGTTAATTATTTCTCCTGATATTTGACACATTAAAACTGGTCAACATAAAAGAAGATAAAAATGAACTTTTTTAGAAAGAAGCAGCAGCAATACTGCTACTACAAATAATACTAATGCTACTAATATAATAATATTATAATTATTATTATAACATTTTGTTATTGTTTTAATGTAATGATAACAGTTTCTTTTATAATAACTATTATTATTATATCTATTATTTATGCCATAATATTTGTTCATTATTACCATCTTAGACAGTTAAGCAACAACACATTAAGTAATTTACCGTTGTTGGATAATTTTATTTAGAGACCTCCCAAATGGTGGCAATTATC